CCGGAATTATTACCGGAAAATCGGCTACGAGCTCGAGGGGCCCTACATGGTCAAACGGCTGCCGTGAAAATCCGGGAATGCAGCGGGAATTCCAGAGAAATCCGGCAGGAATACAACGGGAATACAACGGGAATTCCATGAAATCCAACAAGAACACAGCGGGAATTCCATGGGAATCTGGTGGGAATCCAATGGGAACACAATGGGAATTCCATGGGAAATCCAGCGGGAATACAACGGGAATTCCATGGGAATCCAATGGGAACACAGCGGGAATCCCGTGGAAAACCAACAGGAACGCAGTGGGAATTCAGCAGGAATTCCATAGAAATCCGGCAAAAATCCAACGGGAATGCAGCGGGAATTCCATGGAAATCCAACGGGAATGCAGCAGGAATCCACAGGGAATTCCATGGATATCCGGCAAAAAATCCAACGGGAATGCAGCAAAAATCCCGTGGGAATCCAGCAAAAATCCAGCGAAAATCCAACAAAAATCCAACAACAATCCAGCAGGAATTCCATGGAAATCCAGCAAGAATCCAATGGGAATCTCAATGGGAATCCCAAATCCCATGGAAATTCCATGGAAATCCAACGGGAACGCAGCAGGAATCCAACGGGAATCCCAAATCCCATGGGAATCCACTGAAAATCCAGCAAAAATGCAATGGAAATCCAGCGAGAAAATCCAGCAAAAATCCAACGAGAATCCGGTGGGAATTCCATGGAAATCCAACGGGAATGCAATGGGAATCCGGTGAAAATCCCAGGAATCCACAGGGAATTCCATGGAAATCCAACAGGAACGCAGCAGGAATCCGGTGGGAATTCCATGGAAATCCAATGGGAACGCAGCTGGAATCCAGCGGGAAATCCATGGAAATCCAATGGGAACATGGTGGGAATCCAGCGGGAATTCCATGGGAATCCAACAGGAACGCAGCGGGAATCCACAGGGAATTCCATGGAAATCTGGCAAAAAATCCAACGGGAATGCAGCGAAAATCCAGTGAAAATCCAACAAAAATCCAGCAGGAATTCCATGGAAATCCAAGGGGAATACAACGGGAATCTCAACGGGTATCCCATGGAAATCCAACAGGAATGCAATGGGAATCTGACAGGAATTCCATGGAAATCCCACGGGAACACAGCGGGAATCCGGTGGGAAATCCATGGAAATCTGGCAAAAATCCAATGGGAATCCACAGGGAATTCCATGGAAATCCAACGGGAACACAACAGGAATCTGGCGGGAATTCCATGGAAATCCAATGGGAACGCAGCGGGAATCCAGAGGGAATTCCATGGAAATCCAATGAGAATCCAACAAAAATCCAATGAAAATTCAACAGGAATCCCAACGGGAATCCCATGGAAATCCAGTGAAAATGCAATGGAAATCCAGCAGGAATCCCAAGGGAATCCCATGGAATTCCAGCGAAAATGCAACGGAAATCCAGCAGGAATCCCAAGGGAATCCCATGGAATTCCAGCGGGAATCCTGCAGAATCCTCACCCCAGCAGCAGCCAGGAAAACAGGAAGGGGCCGATATTCCGGGAATAAATCTTATTTTGGGAAT